CTGTGCTGTTGTTCATAGACATTCAATGCCTCCTCAATCGCCGCGGCGCAGTCCGCATCTTGTTTCCCCGCCTCTATCAATTCTGCGTCCGTCTCCGGATCAAATCGAAGAAGCTCCTCGGCGTTGCTGCTGTTGGCGAACGCCACGCTCGATGACACGGAGGGTAGGCAGAGCACGCATGTGTCGTACCCCGCAGGCAATACCATCTCCAGCGCCGCGGGATCAAGCACCATCCCCGGCCACCACGGGTACCCCGGCTGCTTCAGCCAGACGAGCGTATTCAGCGGGAAGGCCATCGCCAGCGCACGCCGAGACAGACAATAGACGCAAAGAAACCACACACAAATAAGCACACAGAAGCCCACGCAGGCACGCAGTCCTCCCACACCCACCCACCTGGGTAATAGGCACAAAAATAAATAAATAAATAAATAAATAAATATGAATCACAACACAAACCAGCGAAATGTCGCAAAATATGCGTTGTTCCCTCGTCCCTTCTCCGCTTCTTTTATAAACCGAATCCAATTGTTGTTTGGGTGTACTGAAGGCCGTTTATGGCACGTTCCTTGTATTCCCCGGACCACGCCGCCAATGTTCAAAGCGCCCAAGAAACTCCTCTGATTCCGCCGCCTGTTACTACTTCCCAAAGAAATATCGGATTTGTGAAATAATTCAACTGACAAATGAGAGTGTGTGAGTGTGTGTGAGAGAGCCGGTACGTCCCAGTCTGCCTCCCTTCCTTCCCCCAACCCACGCAATGGGCGCCGACCGGAACACCCCTGATGTCGGTTAACCTGAAAGAAAAAAAAAAAAAAGAAGGAAGAGAAAAGAAAAGAAAAATTCAGTAATCCTCGATGCAGCGCCCAATTCATCTCTTCTTTTCAGCTGCAAAAAGGCAGAGAATCGCAAAGAAGAAAAGCCGCACAAATTTTGATTCCCATTTGTTAAAAAGACGGATTCCACACGAGTCAAATGTCAACAGTCCGAGAAGCAAAAAAGAAAAGGAAGAAAAATAATATCACGACAGAAGCAGGCCACATTTAAAAAAAAAAAAGAAAGTCAGCATGTGCAGGAAGAAGAAAACGATGCATTTATCTATACATGTTCCTTCTCCGCTTGGTTTAATCAACGACTCACACATGATTTCACCCTCTTCTGTCTCTCTCTCTTTCCCCCCACCAGATAAAAAACAGACATGTACCTCTTTTTTCTCTTTGTTCCGTTTATTTATTCATCCAGTCATTCTTTTCCCCCCTTTTCTTTCCTTTTCTTTTCTTTTCGTGCATGTATTTCTCCTTACTTTTCCCAGCCAGTGTCGCCACCTGCTCCTACATCTTCTTCACTCCGTTGTCCAGACGTACTTGCACTCAAGGCAGGTCACAAATTTCGTTGTGGGCTCATCCGCTGATCTCGTCTGCTGTTCGTAGTAGGAGCACCGGTTCTTACCACAGTTCGGACATTTGAACAGACTTGTAACAGAAACATTCGCCAGTTTTAACTTCTCCTGCTCTTCAATCATCTTCGTAATGCGAGCCTCCTCCATCCGTCTCTCATCCTCCGTCATGAGTGCGGAACGGGGAAGTTTCAGAAACTCCTTTCCGCTCATCGCGCGAGTAGCTAAACTACGCCGCAGCTGCGTCATACCGGGCTTCTCAAGTTGCTCCTGTAAATGCTTGCGGTCCTCCGGCTCAACCACGTCGCGGCAGAGCTCCTCAGCAACGGCCTCCAGATCACTGGATGTGACACCCGGGATGGGTGGATCGGTGGGGTTATCCAGCAGCTTCCGCACACGGTGGACAAACCTCATCCGCACGCGCTCTCCGTTCTCCACCGATCGCGACGCCAGCGGACCGGAAACGTCGTTCACATCGGCAAAGGATGGTGCACCAGCCGCCAAAGGGCTCATCATGGACAATTCCATCGTGCTACTTTTGTTGGCATCATCCTGTCGCTTTCCAAGCCGGTATTGCTGGTGTCTCTTGATGGCTTCTATGGTCTCAACGGGCATGGCACGTGCCCAAGAAGAAATAATGGCTCGCGACAATGGCCATAACTTCTCCAATTCTTTCCTGCCCAAAATACTGCCTACCGCCACGCCAATTTTTGTCGTCTCCAGCTGGCGCACCGTAACACTGACGGTGTCAAGATCACACAATTCAATGCGCAGCGAAGGGAGGTCGCAGATCGATACTGCCTCGTTGATCCGCCCGGCAATTTCAATCAGTTTCTCGTCCCGTAACAAATTCAACGCAGGCGCGGCGACGTGCCGTTCCTCTAATTCCGCCGCACGGCTGCGCTTGCTGACGGGTCGCTGGTTAGCCGCCGCATTCCCCGTGCCGCGCCGCATCCCATCCGTGGAAGATACAGACGCCCCTGTTGCGGTCACTACAGCTGCCGCTCCTGCTGCCACCCCATCACCCGTTTTATTCGCACTGCCGCGGTCTCCCGCTGCAAATTCGTACTTTAGCGGGTTCGCTGTCTCATCCGTTTCCGCACGACGTATCGCCGCGAGGAGGTCAGCGTCCGCCGTGACAGCCTTCTCCGAAGATGTCTCAAAGAAAGTAATACTTGTGGTGGCGCTCTTAAAGTGTTCCAGACTTGCCGGTGTTGTGGTACCCTCGTAGAAGTAAACGGTGATGTCACAGCCCTCAGCACGGCTCTGGCCGTTCGCACGGAGCTCCTCGTCGCTAACAATGCGGGCAGGCCACCAGTCGTACCCCTCCATCTTCACCCACACACGGTCAAACGGCTCATACACCGGATAAGGTACCATCTGTTACACAATTGGCTCTCTTCTTCTTACTCCTCCTCCTGTGCCTGTGTTTGTATGCCCTGTCTATCCTGCCGCTGCCGGTCCTCTTCTTTCGTCGTCTGGCGGCTTATAAATAATTCCTTCTTCTTTGCTCACAAAATAAATGGGGGCACACACAACCCACAATGAGACGCCCTCCCTTTTTATTTTCCCACTTTAACTTAAATAAATGTCCTTTTTTTTACTCTCTCTCTCTCTCTCTCTTTTTGTGGATGCCCAAATGGACACTTTGGGGATTCCACGCTGGGGCAAAACAAAGACACGACGGGTGGTATGAAATAACCACGGAAGAGAAAGAAAAAAAAAAGACAGAAAGAAATAAAGGCAAGCAAAAAATAAAGTACATATTTTGGCCATGACGACTTACTCCCCTCCCGCTCTCCAGGCAGGCAAAGAAGCTCTTTTTCTACAGCCACAGGATAGAAAGGAATATATTTTTATTTTTTTTTGCTGCATTGCTTCCCTTCCTTCTCGCCCATTCACTCGTATTCTCATGCAGACATACGCAGAGAGATAGATATATAGAGAGATAGAGAGACAGAGACGGATAGACAGACATCAAGAAAGTCCATAAAGAAGCAAACAACACAATTATCCTTCCAAAATGACACACATACATGTATACAAAACAAAACGAAAGAAGAAGAAGAAGGAAATGCACCAAGAGCACACAAACAAGAACAACAAAAAAAAAAATATTGCCTTCTCTTCTCTATTCATGAATTGTACACTTATGCGTGTGTGTAATATCATACATTGGGATACTTTTTTTTTTTTTTTTTTTTCTATTTCAGTCGCCGCTTCCTAAAAACTTCACGTACAATCATTCCAGCATTCACCGCACAGAAACACATGAAAAAAAAAAAAAAAACACGCAAACACCAATCACACGCCTGTTTATGTTCGTTCTTCCCCCCCGCAATATTCCACATCTATTACACACCTTCTCTGCTACTATTATTCCTAACTCACAGCCACTGCTCTGTTGCAGGTTTCACGACAGCGCCTAGTAGTTCGGGTTCACCTTTGACTCCAGTGCGAGCGCAAGCGGAGAGTCAGGGTCGATAGGTGGGAAGATGCTCTGCCGGCCAAAAAGCGTTCCAAGAATAAACAGCAGTAGAAATTTGGTGAAAAATCGAATGTCCCACACAAAGTCCTTGAAGCTGTACGTGCGGAAATATTCCCCTGAGGCAAGATAACGGCACTCATCAAAGAACCGCACAACACGATAGTGAAAAAGTTGTTTCTGTTCGTAGATATAACGCTTTGTACTGCTTACTGCGGCATCTGTTCCACTGGCGTTGTGTTCCGCAATCGTCTTGGCAATGCAGGCATCAACCGCGTTAAGTTTTCTCGCTGAGCGCTTCTCAATCTTGCAGGCTACCTTACAAAATGGCGCCAGGAACCTCCCCCTGGTAACGGTCTTAGAAGATGACATCTCTCTCTTTCTTTCTCCCTTACTCCCCTTCTCTCTGTATTGGAGCTTCCTTTTCTCCCTTCGTCACCGTCTCCTGGGATCCAATTGTGCAATAATATATATATATCAATCTATATATTTTATTTTTAATGAATATGTCTTTTTGTGTGTGACCCCCTTTTTTTTTGTTTTTGTTGTTGTTTCTTCCCCCTCCTTTCCTCCTCGTACGGGTGGTTGAAATGAGTGGTGGCAAAAAAAAAAAAAAAAAAACTGGGGGCATGAAAAGAATTTCACAACAGAATAATCTTCCGGGCAGCTGGCCGGATCCTGAAAATTATCTATGGAAACCGAACAAGTTAGGAAAAAAGGGGTTCGTTAGTTAATTGCTTCGATGTTTTCTTTTTATTCAATATATATATAGAATTCTGTGGACCACTAGCATGGTGCTTTGTCCTCAGTTAGGATTTGGAATATAATTACTTACGAAGTGGCAGACTTTGGGGTCCTCCAACCACAAGACCCCGCCGCGACGGTGGGAATCGAAAGGGGGTGGGTGGGATGGCAAAATAAAAAACAAAATATTATCTGGCCTCTATCGGCTCCCTGCCCCTACAAAGTCGTGTTCTTCCCAAAAGATTCATACGGTAGAAAGTATCATGAAGAATGCCTTCATTTATCAGGATATAAACATACATTAATTAAGTTAGCCAGCTCTCCCGCGATCATTCTTTTCACAAGCTCCTGGACAGGCTGAAAGAAAGACGAGCTAAAAAAGTAAGAGAGCCGAAGGAAGGGCAGTGACCTGCGCTCGTTGCCAAAACAACAACAACAAGAAGAAACTTTTCCACTCATTTTTACTTTTGTTACTTTGATTTGCTCACCCCCATTTTTTCCCTTTTCATCAGTCTTCCCGCGGCCAAAAGGTCAAGCCACACACGCCAAGAAAACGCATGGAAACAAACGTGCTGCACGGATCCTCTTCCCTAAAACACACACGTGGATCTCTTTCCCCACAGCACATCAAACAGACACTTTTTTGTTGTTGTTTTTCTGTGTGTGCTTTTCACTGTTTTTGTCCAACTGAGTAAACCATAAGGGGATGCACAAATGATGCGATGCGTGAATTGACATCACTGCAAAGTATGCATCATTCCTTTCCTTTTTCTCCTTCTTTACATTAGGTCGTTTGTTTGCTTGCCGTCATGCACATATGCGTCATTCGCCGTCGGTACCGCACTGCACTCGTGCTGGCACCATACACGCATGTACCGGGAAATTTAACACTTCCGCCCTCACGCATGTGACGTCCCATCCCTCTTCCTCCATGTTACTATCATTTGTTTTTGTTTTACTTTTTGATTCTCCTTTTTTCGACCGATTGCTGCCTACCGCAGCCGCCTCTTTACCAGAAGCGACTCCATCCGGTCAACGATGACTTTCGTCACGGTTCCAATCCCCTTCGTGCGCCCCTCACGGAAGATGAGCTGCTGCCCCACCTTCATGAACTCGGGACGGTAGAGAAAATGAAACCGCACGAGTGACCGATCGCCGGTGCGGAGAACCTCCTGCGCCACGTACACGATGCGAGCGGACTGCCGCACGGTGGCGGAGTGAATGACAGGCTCATAGTTCACCAATATCGTAGTGGAGTGGTAGAGGATTGTGACATCCGCCTCAAACTGCCAATATGCCGCAACCGGGTGGTGCGGGTCGGCGAGAATGTTGCCTTTGCGTATGGCGTTACGCTTCTCCTTCTTGAGGCAAAATGCGGCGTCGCAACCAGCCACCGCCTCCTGCTGTTCCATGCCCTTCACATGAATGGATTTGATGTGCACCGTGCGGTACGCGCCAAAACTGTCTGGGCCAAGAAGCACTGCGTCATTCACGTGAAATACGCCTTGCGTCACAATCCCTCCAACAACCGTGCCAACGCCGGTCACAAAGAATGTGCTGTCAATCACCATTTCTCGAGGTTGCATCCGGGCCTTGCGCCAATCTTTTCGCAGAGGGAGGAGATTTAAGAAACGAATCAAGTCCTGAATACCGTCCCCTGTAACGTTGCTCACCTCAAAAATAGGCACTATGCGGTCGATACGCAGGTTTTTCGCAGAAAGCACAACGTCTTCTATACGACGCACCGGGTAGGGCAATTTCCTCACGGTCGGAATTTTAAGCAACTTATTAATGCTTTTCAACGTCTCCTGTCGAACGTTTTCCGGGGTAGAGTCAATACGAGTAACGACCACAAAAAAAGGAATCTTAAGTGCAAGGCAAAGGGCAATGTGTTCTTTTGTCATGCGTTGAATGCCATTGTTTGCACTGATCACGATGCAGGCGTAGTCAGGCATATTTCGAGTCATACCGAGCACCGTCGTCTTGAGGTAACGCTCGTGACCGGCGAGGTCGTATAGCGTGAGTACCTTTGCACTCTGCGCCACCACCTCCTGTGCAAGCTGCCCGGCGGAAATTCCACCACCACCGCCCAGGCGCTTTAGTGCGGGAATGGTGTAGTTCACTACTTCTCCTGTCGAGGAGAGTCCAAGGAAATTCTCGCTGATGCTTGAAGTGCGCCCCGTTGTCGCCTCATGTTTGTGCTTAAAGACAAATGCACGTGCGGAACCTCGTCCGTCGTCACGACAACCACGCGTAAGAACGGACGTGAGTGTTGATTTGCCGCTGTCTACATTACCGCACATGGCAAGGCGTAGGTCAATGTGCGTTTCCGACTCACTCTGACGAACAAGAAATTCCTGCGCAATAATCTTCGCCCTTTTATTCCCGGTTCCGTTTCCCACACCACCGCTACCATGACTACTCTTAATAGTACTGTTGCTGTTGACGTCGTTGCTGCCTGTCCCCTGAATCCCACGCGGCCCTTCTACCAATGGCATGCAGCCAACGCCAAGGCTTCTTACAGACTCCCGGAACTGAGCAACACGCTGCTGAAATTCCTCCATGCTACGTCCAGAAACAAGAAAAAAACATTCCCCTTGACCCTCCGTGATAGACGCCGCGATGGTGGACTCGCTGAAATCCTCCCTTCCAATGACAGTTCCCTTCCCATCGCATGACGCCGGTGGCGCCAAAAAGCATGACGTTGCCGACATATTTCTACTCAACGCCAGCGATTCACTATTTTGTGGGTCAACGTACCGTACAGCGGTGCTAAGAGTCAACTTTTTTCGAAGACTACTCACCAAAGCCTCACTGTTTTCTTTCAATGTGTGTTCACCCTTCTTGGCGCTAAGCGCCTGCAAAATAAACTGCGTCTCCGAGAACTGCAGTTGACTTAAGTGACTGTCGTCGATGTCCTTCTCCGCATTCCTATTTTTATCCTCGTTTGCATCGGTGCTTTTCTTGACATCCGAAAGTTCTCTGAGACGAGTAAATTCCGCCTTAACGGACTCGCTCTGTCCGTCCCAGAACACCGCAATGACGAGGCAAACCGCCTTCACTGTCTTGGATGCCGTCACAGCAGTCTCGTTCCTGGTGCCGCCGGTGGGACGGATGATGTCTGCCGCCACCTGCCCCAATGAAAGCAACGCAGCGGCGTGGAAGCGGTACTCGTCACCTGACGACGCACCAACGTTGCGGAGCACCACCCTATTAACAGGGGGCGTTAAACGTTCCGCTACGACGTCACGCACCCATTCCGCGAGCTCCAACGCCTCCGGCTCCGCCAAGACGAGGCAGAAACACGGAGGTGTGTCGCCATCTCCCCCGCCGCCTTGCATGTGTTCCCCAGCCGTCTTTCTCCCTTTCCTCCTCGTCCCTTGTACGCAATCTTGTCCTTCCTCCTTCCTGTACACCAAGAGGAAAAAGAAGTGACCATAGCGTATACATTTATGCGTGATGGCACAACCACAAAGTAAAAAGAAAAGTAAGAGAGTGCTATGGTATCACATCAACAGTGCAACACATGCACACGCACACACACACACACACGAGAACAAACATGAGAGAATAAATAATAAATAAAAAAGCTCCTGTCACTTCAGACAAGAAGCCCAAGAGGAGATACAAATAACAGGCACATGCAATGTTCCTGTGGTATTGAATTGGCTAGAGCGCTAAGTGATCGTGATGGCTCGATGTTCTTTGTCAGGGGAATAAAGAAGAAAAAAAAAAATACACGAAACAAGTGTCCACGCATTGCCGCCAACATTTAAATATTTCTCTGAACAGACAGGAAGAAACAAAAAAAAAAAAAAACGTATTGGAATAGAGAAAAAAAAAAAGTCGGAGTGGGGAGAATAATAAAATAAAACAAAACAAAAAATAAATAAATAAATAAATAAATAAATAATGATGAGAATAATAAATGTCGACATCTCACATTCAACGATTATTTTTTTTTTCCATCTTCCCCCCCCCCCCCCCCCTTTAACTTTCACCATCACCCCCCTTTCTTCCTCTCCTCGTTGGCGTCCATCAGCGCACAGATAACATACTCACACTCACACACAAACGCACGCGTGTATATTATAAATAGATAGATGGATGCAACAAAAGAAAATAAATAAATAAGGCGGCACCACTAAGAAGTTGTCATTTTCGTCATGTCCGCCGTACGATTTTCAAAGCGTAGCACCTTCACCGCACCGCTGTGGTAACCAACAAAGAACACAGGCACATCGGGACGTTCCTGTCGCAAGGCCGTGATGGCACCAAGACGTGGGGTTTGGCTACCAGTAAAAAGAAACCCATGGTGCTCCACAAGAACAATACGGCCGTGTTCCATTCTCTCAGGCGGCAAACGCACAACACGCCACAATGACAGACTGCCATCTTGATGCCCTGTAATGAGAAGCTGAATGCCAGAAGCCCACTCGAGTGTTTCATATGTCGTGACAGCTGTCATACTGGCAATAAAATTTTTGCTGTCGTCTACGGCAAAACCAACTTGCCCCGCCTCATCCTCCAAGTGTGGCGCGGTCTTGTCGGCGTTGGGGAGAGGGCCGACTCCGTACGGCTCGCCGTTCCTATCAAACAGCAAAAGATGCCGACGTGTGACTACAATGGCATTTGCACTTATGGGATCAATAGCTGCAGCCACCACGATAAGGTCGCCTGGGGTTGCCAAGGGAAGCAGGCGAGAGAGATCCAGGACATGTAACTTCACCGTGTGGCAATGCTGAACACACCACACCGTAGGAAAATCGATGCCACTCGTAGTAAAGCTAATAATACGGCCGTATTTTGTGCTCAACGCAAATCCAGCGATGGGGTTGGTGTGGTTACACAATGTTGAGCTTAGCACCAGCACGCCATCTGTTCGGCTATGACTAAAACAATACACAGTACCACTGTTGGACCCGATTAAAATCAGCGTCTCACGACAACTCACACAAAAGGCGCTAACACTCGCGGGAATTCGAAGAACCGACTTGCAACGTACAGATGACAAAAAATGTCCTCGCGTGTTATCAAACCGCATCAACATATGTTCACTGTGGTTCCAACAAATTATGTGGTCCGTGTCATCAACCGGTAAAGAATACTTGTAACAACACATATTCATTCCACTTCGTGTCGTGACAAAATCAAGTACGGGACTCTCATGAATTTGGAAGGCATCTGAGACGCTCTTAGGCATGGCTTGGAAACTCCCCGGCGCTGGATCCTCTAATGTGTACCATGTCTGTGGTGAGTCTAGAGCATGCATGACCATAGAAAGCACCTTTGGCAATTGTTCCTGAAATGCCGTCGTATATGTGTTGCCGCTGCACAGCACATTACCGCCAGTCGTAGAATGTGCACCGCCCGTGCCACCGGTGGAAAGCATAGGATGACATGGTTTCAGTTCCCGTTGTGCAGGGTGGCGCTCTTGAAACAACTGAATTGGGGTCTGCCCAAAGTTGTCCACCTCCGCAATGATGACATCAATGTCATGTGGATTATCACACTTTTTTAAAGCCTGAAGAACCTCCTCACCGTACGTCATGCGCTGAAACACATTGTAGCTCTCAACAGCAAGTTTTCCACATCGACGTACACCAAAGATCAGATCAATCCAACGATGAATGTTCTGCAAAACAAAATTGCTCTCCAGTGCGTATCGCATGACGGATATAAACACCTGCGTCGAGCCCTTGGCCCAAGGAGGAAGTCTCACGTCATTCACAACCGTACCGTCGGACTTTTCGCCAAACTCGCAATGATTTGCATTTACAAGAAACATGCCATCAAAGAAGAATTCTGGCATTAACTCTTTACAGTCTGTGGGGCCATGCACACACGATTGAAAGGAGGCATCAATGGAATCAAATAAACGCGTGGCTACGTCAAACTCACCGCCTTGAAAGATGCGTGCAAAAGTTGTAAATGGCTCCACACGAATGAGAAAATGTAATACCCCTCCACTCGTAGAGTAGTGCGTGCCATGATGGAATGGCTGAACGCCTTCAAAGTCCGGATCGGCTTTTTGCACCTCCACCATTTGCTGGTAGACTTGCATCACTTTCTGACGTCGTTCCTCCGTTTGTGCCCCCATAGGAAGCGAGAGATCACGATATGTTTTGGGGGAGTCCATGTCAAGTTCACTTGACTTGTAATCGGCAAGCACCCATGGATAGATGGGGTATTGGTTAAAGTCTCTCCTTGTACGGCCCGCCACAGAATTAAGAAAAGTGATATAGTCATATGTAGAGACTGAACCTGCTGCCCAACGGATAAGCATCGAACGAATGCTAGCGGTTCTTTGTGAGTGGTCAAAAAATTCACAGCGTTTCGTGCCAAGGACGTCCTTCAACACAGCAAGAAACTTGTCTCGTGCAGACGTGTTCATAGATTGATGTGCATCAACCAGAGACAACATGGGACCATCGTCATACATGAGCTCAAAGAGAATGGCGGTATCCTGGTGCATGTAGTATGCCATGCGTACACTCCGAATGTTCTGCAGGAAATACACCCAAAATAGATCCCTGTAGGAGTCTCCAGATGCCTGTCGAACCGAGTGTGCAATTTTGGTTCCATCATGAAGTTTCTCTGTCTCAATTCGTCGTCGCTTCTTTCCACCGCCATCTGTAAGGAAACGCTGCAGCTTGTTTGTCATAGAGACTGCGAAACTTGAGGCCGTGAACTGAGAGCCCCACTTGTTTTTCGAGCTCTTTGTCGTGCTGATGTGGACGGGAAGAACAGGCTCTTCCCTCTCGTCGTTTTCGCGCTGACAGAGAATAATGTCCCCCTCCACCGTGATGCGGGAAAACCCAATCAATTTCAACGAGGAGTCTGTGAGAAGAATCAGACACGGTGTTGCATGAATTCCATGAATGCGGAAACCGTTGCTAATGAAGCGTAGAACCTCATTTGGCTCAAGGAGGTATCGGAGCAAAGAGAGTGCGGAAGGGGTCACACAACAACTAATATCCACAAAAGGAGTACCTGTATGAAGAATATACGGTCGGCAACAAATCGCAAAAGACTGCACCAAAGTAGAGATGTGGTTGTGCTGTTGCTCACAGTTGTCTGTGCCCAATACAGTGGACGCAGCATCTTTTGAGACGTGATTCGATATCACCGTTGTGTAGTTCCCACGCAAATCTAAATAATTTAATACACGCACACGGGGGTCATTTTGCTGCAAAGAACATTGTTGTTTTACCAACCAAATGCATTTGG